GACAAGCACCGGCCTTCCCTCCAGAGAGCATACATCCAAGTCCAGCCGTGGCAGAGCGCTACGCCCGCGGTGCTCGAGGTGCATACGCTTCTGGAACAGCACAACAGCGCGCTTCTTATCCCGCTTCCTCCTCGTCCCTCGACACGGCTAGTGAAGATGAAGATGATGAAGACGACATTTCAGAGACGCGAACCCCAGAGACGAGAAGTACAGGAAATCATGTGGATCTGAGAGCTACGCCGGTGGGTCAATCGCGAACTGTCAAGCAGTTCGACAGACCCACGCTCGGAGAGGAAAAGATGGCCAGGCTCAAGGCGGCCGAGCAACGGAATTTCAGGCACGGTAAGAATCGCACAGAGGCTCGACGCGACGCGCAGACACAGCAAGACGGAGAAGGACTTGTGAGTCAGCAGAGGTGGTCTTATCAGATTGTGGAATGTTTGTGGTGCTGAGACGTGCCCACGATAATCGATCACTCACTCGCGACCCAGGCTGCTCGCGCGCAGCGCATCAATCGAGCAACATCTACGTCACGAGCAAACTTGCCCTCATCGCCCTCGCCTGCTCCCTCATTGACAAGAAAAGGCGTGCATCGCAGCACCCAAGCCTCCATCGACGACAGACGCGCAGAGCAAGCCGACGACATTTTCAGTCAAGCCGCCCCGCGCCCCCAAGCGGGTGATGATCACGAGCAAGCGCACAAAGACGACAGCGGTGGGTCTGGCTACGCAGCGGGCGCTCCCTCTGGTCAAGAAGGCGAAAGCTCAGGAGAGACGTTGCTCGGATCTGGTAACGTGTGGAAAGGCGATGCTTATCATGGTATGCAAGGTCTGGATATGCCATGGATGCGCCTGCCTTCTGGCCAAAAAGTGGGACAGGGAGCATACGAGGCTCGACTGCCTGACTTGACTGGCATCACGTCTGCAATGGCCAGTCCTGCACAAGCTAGAGATACCCATGTCCCACTTGCAAAGCTTCGCCCTCCGCCACAAGAACTCGACGAGCTCGCACAGAGGCTGGATGCGGTCAAAGCAACAATGCAGGCGGAGGAGATTGACATGCGAGGTCAGGAAACCTACCGTGGTCGCGCT